TATTTCGTGTCAAACTTTTTTCTAGTTTTAACGGAAGTTTGCCATTATTATTTTATCAAATATCTATGAAATATTTTGAGGAAGTTCTGGGATCCACGTTGATGTATCGTACACTCTACGAGGTATGTATGAAGCAAAAGAAAATGATGATTTGTCGCTATACACAAAAAGCAAATGTTCCTCCAAAACTTGTTGCACTCGTGCCTCAAGCGCCCGCAAGCGAAACCAATTCAAAGGTTTTTTTTCACTTAATGGACCGAAATATTCCAATTTAGTTTTTATTTTTTATTTTCATTTTTACTTTTTATTCTGTTACAACCTTTTCCATAACCACAAAATATCTAAATTTAAATTCTCTCACCAAATGGATATTTTTATTATTTTACGTAGTGATTTTTCTATCGTCCCCTGCGGCAGATTCGTTTTCACTTATTTTAGTTTTGCTTTTTCTCCTTTCATGCTACTCAATTTCGCCTTTTCATATTCCTAGTGGTTTTTTTCCGCCCAATTTTGAACAGTTTGCAAGTTTTTTGTAATATATTTTCTAATAATTGTCACTGAAATGAGATCCCGTGAGATCCGAAGGTTGTCGGTATCGGAGTTTTTGTTGTTTTCGCGTTTTCATCTCCCTGGAAGTCCTGTTTTCGCTTAATTTTGAACAAATTCGTATCAAATTGAACAATTTTGCGTATTTTATAATATAATTTTTTTAAAAATATCACTGAAATGAGATGATCCCCGTGCCGAATATCTTTCCGCGAAGTGTATTGGTATCGGGGTTTTTGATGCATTTCGTTCCACCGTACTATTTTTCATCAAAAATGTCTCATTTTTTGCCATTTTTTTATCGATTTTCATTTTTTTTAGGAGGAGATAAGCTCGAAATTTCGCTACGCTGGTTTCCACTTGGTCTATTTACCATATGCAGAAGACAAGCGCGATCTCAGTGAGCAAATGACTCATCCAGACGGCGAATGGCCAAAAGGTAATTTCGAAAGCACAATTTTTTAGTGCCTTTGTCAGGAATTAGCACCAAACATAGAGGGGAGAGGGGGGGGG